TGCGAAAGGGGTTTTGGTTACTGTCATAGACAATGAAGAGCTTGCATATACGATCATTATCTTCTCATTGTTAGCTTAGTATTTTGACCAGCTGGTTCACTTACAATAGTCGAGATAATATTTCGATACTCGGTCCAAGCTCGACATCGATGCGTCCCCTAAGCCGGTCGGCAAACCTTGTCGACCTAAAATGGTAAGACACGCGCAACAGGAAGTAAACGACAGAGATTACCTTCGCGTCTCAACTTGATCAGGCCCTGCTCATCGCCTGCAGAGCTGTTCAAGCGACTGTACGACACACCCTGCATCTTGCCTCGAATGGCGACACCCTTGACCCATCTGAAGGGCCGTTTCTGATGACATTCGAATCCACTCTTTTCGCATTTCCCGCAGGGAATACCGGATCTGTCGCATTGTATTCGCCGATGCCGGCATGTGTAACATGCTTCAAACTCGACCATCGTGGAGGTGAGACATCAGCCGCGGATTAGCGAGATGTTATCGTTCATCATATGATCATCATTGATGGAGCTCGATTCAGACATCCATGCCTAAAAAATGATGATAGCTTTATCAGAGATGGAAGAATTAAGATGGGCAAAGTATGGACGTTGGTTTTATGGATCCGCAAGAAGGGAAGATGCACGTGCCAAGACAACGGGGTCTGGAACTATCACGTGCTTATCTACTACTTATCTACAAGCTGTTCCTAATCAGGAAACCCAAGTTCATCATCGCCACCGTCCATAATATTTATTAATACTCACAATCTATCCAAAACCTATTTCTTATCCTTCATTTCCCCCCTCTCCTTCACCGTCTTCGCTATGCCCATCCCAACCTCCGTCCCCAGCTTCTCAAACCCCTCAATAACCCCCTCCCGGTCCCCCACCCCCATCTCCTGACTCATCTTAAACTTCCCCTGCAACCGCTCAATCCTCACCTCCACCCCAATGATATTCTTCTTGAGAAGCTCGACGTACGTCTCCGGCGCATCGCTCACCTTCCACGGGCCCGGCCTCTCACCCCCGGTATACCCCATAATCGCAGTCTCCGCATGCCGCGACAGATCATTCACCTGGCGCGACAGGAACGCCCCCGTTTCCTCGGCCTTGGAGTCACAGTACACGGTGATCTTGCCGTAGGCCTGCACGGCGGAGTAGTTCCAGGTGGGCACGACCTTGCCCGTGGCGGGTTTCGTGTCTTTGTAGAATTTCGGGGTGACGTAGTGGTGGTGTGGGCCGTTAAAGAGGATGAGAACTTCGTCGGGGAGTTCGAGGGTTGTGGATTGGGTTTGGGCTTGGTGCTGGGCCAATGCTTCCATTAGGGCTTTGGCTTGCGGGTTTTGCTTGGCGATGTGCCCGCGGAGGGTGCCTGGGGTGAGATCGGAATTGGCATCGTCGGCGGGAGTGTCTGGGATGTCGAGGACGAAGGGGATGTGGCTGGATTGGAGGAGGGGGTAGTTGGGGGATTTGATGGCGGTTGTGAGGATTCCGAGAGGATTGTCGCGGATGAATTGCTGGAGGAGGGGGATGTGTGTTTCGGCGTGGACGGCGCGGAGATACATGATGATTTGGTATCTGTAGTTTGGATGGTTATCCTCGTTCGTTGCAGGGGACGGGATTATATATCCTCGATTGTCTGATCGATGAGTAGAGCCATGCTGGGGATATCGCTGGTATTCAATTGGCTCATGACGCCGAGTCAGATTATGTCGGCACAGGGCGTACGCCCTCGGAACTGCTAAGAGTCATAACTGTCACAGCAGAAAACATTACAAACGGCTGATTTAGAGGGGAAATGTCTGCACCATGATTGGTCCAACTAGATACATCTCAATCCAAAAAAAGCGGGTGGCCAATAGCAAAGATGGATCTCTACACTATTCCCTTTTCAGCAGTTGTCAGGAGTGGGGCATTTTTACAGCCAATAGGCTCACAGAGTTTCAATCCAATCATCGAAAATCGTCACCACTTCCATTCTAGGAAATTCCGGGGAGTGGAGCTTGCTGGTTGCCACTACTATCAAATGTGCTCAGTACCATACATCTTATAAATATGAGTAAACCGCATGCTTTATGAGCATCTTGATCTTCTTACCATACTCACACCAGCAAAATGCCTCTTTCACAAGACAGCCACCCTGCCACAAAGGCACTCCATGCCGACGACCGACTCAACTTGGTAACAGACGTCGCACCTCCAATCCATCTATCAACCACATTTCGATACTCCAATGATCCTGACCAATTGATTCCGTCCGAGGATCCCATTGTAAGCCTCCAAATCCCACTACAGGATTCAACTAACACCCCAAGGCCGAATTCGACGGCAAGAACTACGTCTATTCCCGGGAGTTCGCACCCAACGCGACCCGCTTCGAGGCAATTCTCTCCACCTTACTTGGTAGCCACGCCGTCAGCTATGCCACCGGCCTAGCTGCACTACACGCAGCCCTGGTCCTTCTGAACCCGCGGCGCATCTCCGTCGGCGAAGGCTACCACGGCAGCCACGAAGTCATCGGTGTGCTCACCCGTCTCACAGGACTCAAGAAGCTCCCGCTGGACTGTGCTGCCGAAGACCTAGCGGAAGGCGATGTGATCCTTCTCGAGACACCGGTGAACCCACTCGGCACCGCATTCAGCATCGAAGCTTACGCGCAAAAGGCTCACTCGCGCGGAGCCTACCTCGTCGTCGACAGCACGTTTGCTCCGCCGGGCTTGCAGGATCCCTTCCTCTGGGGTGCGGATATCGTGCTGCACTCCGGCTCCAAGTATTTCGGCGGCCATAGCGATATGCTCTGCGGTGTGCTTGGTGTCAAGCGTGCAGAGTGGCATCGTCAGTTGCTAGAGGATAGGGTCGCGCTCGGCCATGTCATGGGGAATTTGGAGAGTTGGCTGGGTGTGCGTAGTCTGCGTACGCTGGAGGTTAGGGTGCAGAGAGCGAGTCAGAACTCGGCCAAGCTGATTTCATGGCTGAATGATGCGTTGACGGCTGCGTCGCCAGCGCCGGGGAGTGAGGAGGAGATTGTGCAAAAGGTGCTGGTGAAGATCTACCATGCCAGTTTGCAGGATGACGAGTGGTTGAAGAGGCAGATGCCGAATGGGTTCGGGCCTGTGTTTGCGATTGTCATGAGGGATGAGAGGCTTGCAAAGACGCTGCCCAGCAAGCTCGCTTTGTTCCAGCATGCGACAAGTTTGGGGGGTGTTGAGTCGTTGATTGAGTGGCGGGCGTTGTCGGATTCCAGAGTTGATCGGAGGTTGCTAAGGATCAGTGTTGGGTTGGAGGATTGGCAGGACCTGAAGATGGATTTGTTGTCGGCTTTCAAGACTCTTCTTGAGGTTTAGCGGTGTGTGGATTTCGTGAATATGTTGTTAATGGGTCTCTCTTATTCAGTATTCATTCACGCACTGAGTCAGTCCAGCTGAAATCGCATTGTTACAAAGAACGTCATTTATTGTTTGCAACAAACACCTACAAAAGAAGTGTTCCTTTGTTCGAGAGCTTTAGCCTCATCTATAATACTAGCCATGCTGCTGTCCCAGTCCTACGAACAGTAAGCTCTGCATCTCAAATGAAGCACCCCACACACATCATCGACCCCAACGGGGACGTGACCATAAAACTCCTCAACCCAAATGCTCCATTCGCTGTATCTGAAGAATGGGATTATGGAGAGGATGACGAATTCCCCTCATGGTTCGGAGCAAGACAGTGGAATCCGCTGAACAACGAACAAGCAGTCGATTCGCTGCTTGATCTTACTATCGTTGATCAGGACGACCAAGACGAACCACCAAAGTCCGCAGGATCAGAGACTCATGTTTCCCTATTGGCGGCAACGGGTCTAACGAGAGTGCCTACTCGCCGACAGCGTTACCGTCCACGGAGAATGAGCGAAAGCGAATGTACTCTGAGTGAATATACACGTATGTCATACCCCCCTGGACAAGAGCGCATGCTAAGTGTAAATGCTTAGGCAAACCCGCATTCAACGACGAATACACCTACCAAGTCTCCTCACGACATCTGATACTCGCATCTCCATTCTTCCACGCAGCACTAACAAAAGGGTGGAAGGAGACCCACACCATAGGCACACACGGCTCAGTCACATTCACCGTCTACGACTGGGACGATCAGGCGCTCTTGATTTTGCTGAATGTTATACACGGACAACACCGCGATCTGCCCTGGAAAGTAGGGCTAGAGCTCTTGGCGAAGATCACCGTAATCGCTGATTATTATCAGTGTATAGACGCCATTCAGTTCATGGCGCTGTCTTGGTATGCGTTTTTGAAGCCGACGTGCTCCGATCTTGTCCGGCCGAGGGATATTGTCTTGTGGATGTGGGTATCGTGGGTGTTGCGTCTTCCAGAGCAGTTTCGGAAGGTTGGCGCAATGGCTATGGAGCAATTGGATGGGCGGATGGATTCGTTGGGGTTGCCTATTCCAAGGAGGATAATAGGTGAGTTTTATACAATTGGGTCAGATGCAGTAGCTGATGTTGTTAGATGCTGTCAACCAGCAAGAAGGGTTTCCTAGGAGCCTTGGGGAGGGAAATCGTGTACTTTTTTGGTGGCTTTACCGGGGTTGGACTTCAGTTGATAGACCAGGCTGTGACTGAGTACAGAAATAAGGGAAATCTTTGTACATGATTGTACAGCTCCTACCAATCTGGTGGCCAGAAGTTGCTCAGAAGTCGCCTAAGTATGCATCCTCATGCCAAGTGGGTTTTTAGTGCTTATACAATAGCCAAGTTTAAACAGACCGGGACAGGCATTGCATAATAGTAACCAGTAGACGTTGACTAAAACTGAGCACTTATGAAATGATGATTAACCATACCTCCCCCTCTCCTGCAATGATACGGTAGTATCACCATACCTGCATATCATGCTAGGCCTCCTTGCAGATAGATGCGGGGAATCCTCATACGGTATATAATCCGCTTCTTACTCGCAGATATTTGACATTTCGATGGTCAACTAACATACCACAATGTACACAACCAAATCCCTCCTATCCACCCTAATACCGATAATGATCCCCCTCTCCCTGGGGTCAGTCTCGTCCCCAAATCTCCTCCCTACACCCCCAATGGGCTTCAACAACTGGGCCCGCTTCATGTGCGACCTCAACGAGACACTTTTCCTCGAAACCGCCTCCGCAATGATCTCAACTGGCCTTCTAGAAGCAGGCTACAACCGCCTCAACCTGGATGACTGCTGGATGGCCTACGACCGCGCCGCGGACTCCTCCCTCCAATGGAACACAACCAAATTCCCCCACGGCATCCCATGGCTTGCCTACCGCCTCAAAACCCAAGGCTTCCACTTAGGAATCTACCAAGACGCAGGAAACCTCACCTGCGGCGGGTATCCCGGCTCGTTCGGCTACGAGGCCCTCGACGCCCAAACCTTCGCAGCCTGGGGAATCGACTACCTAAAGCTTGACGGATGCAATGTCTTCCCGGAGCACTCTCGCACATTAGAAGAAGAGTACAAAGCCCGCTACGCACACTGGCACAACGTCCTAAGGCAGATGCACCCCCCGCTCATCTTCTCCGAAAGCGCCCCTGCGTACTTTGCCGACCCCGCCAATCTGACCTCCTGGTATGAGGTCATGGACTGGGTTCCTGCGTTCGGGGAGCTAGCGCGCCACTCGACTGATATCCTGGTATATGTCGGGGAAGGCAGTGCCTGGGATAGTATCATGGTGAACTATCACTATAACACACTGCTGGCGCGGTACCAGCGGCCGGGGTACTTCAATGATCCGGACTTTTTGATACCGGATCACCCTGGGTTGACGCTTGAGGAGAAACGCTCGCAGTTTGCGCTGTGGGCGTCGTTTTCGGCGCCGTTGATTGTTAGTGCGTATATTCCGGGCCTTTCGGGGGAGGAGTTGGCGATTCTGAGGAACGAGGAGTTGATCACGGTTGATCAGGATGTGTTGGGGTTGCAGGCGACGTTGGCGAGTCGCGGGGAGGAGGTTGATGTTTTGACAAGGAGTTTGGCGCATGGGGATCAGTTGCTCACGGTGTTGAATCGGGGGGATGGGGTCCCGGTGGTTAGGGTGCCGGTTGAGTGGATGGGGTTGCAGAGAGGTTGTGCGTATGTGGTTAAGAACCTGTGGGATGGGGAGGTGCAGGTGCTGGAGGAGGAGATAGTGATCAGGCTGAACTCGCATGCTACGCAGGTATACCGGATCGCTTTGCCGGAGGAGTGCTCTACTGTCATTCCTACTGGGATCGTGTTCAATACGGCGTCGGGGAACTGTCTCACGGACGAGAACGGCGAGAGGGTTGGGTTCGAGGCTTGCAGAGGATCGGAGACGCAGGTTTGGCAGGTGAGCGAGCTGGGACATCTACATCCACTGTCAAGAACATCGCATTGCTTGACTGCAGGGAGTCAAGCCTCTGTCCAGTTGTGCACTGGGCAGAAGAACCAGCAGTGGACTTATGAGATAACGGGCAATCTCAAGAATGAACACACAAAGATGTGTTTGACGGAGGGAACTGGAATATCTCAATGTGGGTTTGAACGAGATAGCCAGGTATTCGGTCTGCCGAGTGGTGTAGACATCAAGTCCAGTTAGACAGATCTCAATAAGGTGCAGTTAGTATCCGCTCATGTTCCGAACTGTATGGAATCTTTCAAGATAGAACCCATTGATGGCATCGCCCGTCATCACTGTACAGTATGTATTCATCTTATATCTTGAAAGGACGACAAGCCTCCGATAAGTTGTCGTCAAAGAACCATAGATCAACAATAATTGACGAAAAACCAGAACGAGAAGTACTATGCTTGTGCAGAATCATAACTCTTTTTCGGGTCAAAGGTCGGCCGTTGTCGGAAGAGATTGAACAGAGGAATGAATAGCCTGGGTTGGTCATCGCTGGTCTCCATTCCCTCAGTTTGTACCTGCTTGTTGAACCACGACCAAACATCTTCCCAGCTTATCCATCGCCATTCGTCACACTTCTCAGGTTCCATTATCTGAAGCTATGGATTAGTACGAAGACATCGTGGACAAGACCGGATAATCCAACTCACCTGGGGCTGTTCGTTATCTTCCTTGACCCTAGCACCGACATAGACAGTAATGTAGTGCTTTCCTTCGGCTTCCATGACATCGTTCGTAGCAGTCAGGAAACGTACGTCGTGTATTGACAGGCCTGTCTCTTCGAGAACTTCCCGTACTGCGCAGGCTTCAAAGGATTCACCGAATTCGAGATGACCACCAGGAAATGCCCAGGTTCCTACCACACGGTCAGAACCCGCTCAAGATACAGAAATCAGTAGAAGACAGAAATACCAGCACCATGGCTTCCCTTCCTCTTGCCCAGAACGACCTTCCCTTCATTGTTCAGGACGACGACTCCAACCCCTACTCTTGGATTCATCATGGGCTGTCTGCAACAAAATCTGTGTACTGAACTTAACGATTCTTTAAGCGCGGGTGTGCCTTTTATGTGAAATATCTGTAACACAGCCTTACACAGCCTTCGGGTGAGTCATGCGCGTCGACGCTGGGAGGCAATGCTCACCTAATTCTCAGCTGTGGTTCAGAGCTCTTGACTTAAAATATGGGTATCGATCACGGTATCCAATCTCTTTTGATATTGCTCAATGAGCTCAATTTTTGACGATGGTGAAGTTGGTATGCGTGTCTTGCTGTTGCCGACCTCTCTGAAGATACTTTCCCCTTTTGGAAATCAGTGCATACAAATCAAACATCTCCAACTGTCTCCATAACAGAGAACCTCCATTCTCTACTCTGTATCATCTCTTCATCTCCTCGTCTTCTCATCTCAAGCCTTCATCTCATGCATCGCCATCATGGCCATCTGAAATGGGTCTGGCTTGACAAGTTGCAATACCAATCACACGCTGAGATCCGTTATCGCTTGCCTGCTGTCGGCCATCTCCCGCACCCCGCTCCCTTCCCTATCAAGGCACTAGATTCCTTATCAAAGCGCCCTGATAACGAGTAATGTCGGAATCGGACCTTGCATCACCAGATGGGAGACATCTTCCATATTGGGAGCTTTACCATCATATTTCCTGCCTTGCAGCTGGTGTCCTGAAATGACAAGCGCAAGAATTAAATCAGAGATGCGGCCAGGTTCTCTTCACATATCTACTATGATGGTACCACTCAGGAATTGAAGCGCCATGTGACTTCGATTTGCATGTCCTCACTGTGTGCTGCCGCGCCATGGGCCGTGCTACTCCAGATGCAACATGACTTATCTTCGTGACCCCGCATTGCAGTTGAGTCTGGCTAGAATCGGACTGGCAGGTCAAGCTTTGTGGACAAGGCTTAAAAGAGAGGAGATACATGCAACACAATCACTATGCTTTTATTTTGCATCATACTCGATTGGCGGGTCCTGACAAAGCTTTTGGACCCTGCTTGAAAGCATCCCACTCACCATGGCTTCTAAGGCGCAAGCTCAAGATCATATTGTCAAGACATCTCACGCCGGAGACCATCCGGAGGTAGAAATCGGCCGCCTGGATGAACTTGAAGTTGATCTCGACTCCGCCTGGAAGGAGGACCAGGAGTATGACTACGGGTCGGAACACTCCCCTTTTGCTGAAGGTCCGTTGTCGTTTGCGCCATGAATACTAGATTCTCTACTCATTCCAAAGCTGTATAGTCCGAGCAGTTGTTCCTGAAACTGACGATCCACACATGCCTGTCAATACGCTTCGGATGTGGATGCTCGGCGTCGTCTTCACCATTCTGGGTTCTGGGATCAATCAATTCTTCTCCCTCCGTTACCCATCTGTACACATTGTCTCGCTTGTTGCGGAGCTTCTTGCTTATCCATGTGGCGTCTTCCTCGCCAAAATACTACCGGTAAAGACGGTTCATTGCGGACGATTGGGCTCTTTCTGCGTGAACCCAGATCACCATTTCAATATCAAAGAACATGCCATCATCGTGATCATGAGTAATGTCTCTTTCGGGTACGGCAGTGCTGACTCGACCAACATCATTCAAGCCTCAAGCTCCAACTTCTACAACTTTGGTCTCAAAGCGGGCTTCTCGGTGCTTGTTGTGATCTGCGCGCAATTGTTAGGCTTTGGGATCGCTGGTTTAGCTGCACCATGGCTCGTGGAGCCCGCGAGCATTATATGGCCAGGGGTTCTATCCAATTGTGCAATGCTGGAAACCCTTCATTCTCGCGCCAACCCCGTTGCGAATGGATGGAAGGTCTCTCGCTTGCGCTTCTTCCTGTATGTCACTGCTACCGGTTTCCTGTGGTACTTCTTTCCCGGGCTCATTTTTACGGCCCTTTCCTATTTCACCTGGATCTGTTGGATTGCACCCAAAAACGTTGTTGTCAATCAACTTTTCGGCATGCAGACGGGACTGGGCCTGAGTCCCATCACTTTCGATTGGAGCCAGGTAGCGTACAATACGAATCCCCTTCTATCTCCGTCTTGGGCAGCCGTCAACGTTTTCGCGGGCTTCGCAATTTTCTTCTGGGGTGTCGTTCCTGCCCTCTACTACACGAACACATGGTATACTGCTTACCTTCCAATGATGACGGCGGACGTCTACGATCGGGCAGGGGCCGTCTACGACACAGCTCGAGTGGTTAGCTCCCAACATACCCTGGATATCGATGCATACAAGCAGTACTCGCCTCCGTATCTAGGCGCCACATTCGCATTCGTCTACGGACTCTCTTTTGCGTCGATCACGTCCGTCCTCACTCACATTGCGGTCTGGCATAAGAGCGACATCTGGGCTGCAATGAAGGGCAAAAACAGGCTAGACATCCATGCTCGGCTCATGAAATCATATAGGAAAACTCCCTGGTACTGGTATGCTGCGGTCATTGTGGTAGTGACCGCTATCGCCATTATACTGGTCGAGGTCTACGAAACCAAACTTCCCGTCTACGGCGTTTTCCTGGCCCTCATCATCCCAGCCCTTTACATGGTGCCCTGCGGAATCGTCCAGGGCATCACCAACGTCGACGCCAACCAGCTCAATGTCCTCAGCGAGTTCATCGGCGGCTACATGTTCGAAGGCAAGCCCCTGGCCAATATGCTCTTTAAGATTCTCAGCACGGACGTGGTCGGCCAGGGCGTCTACTTCGCCATGGACATGAAACTGGGCCACTACCTGAAGATCCCTCCACAGCTGCTCTTTGTCGCGCAGGGGACCGCCACCATCCTCGGGGCCCTGACCCAGGCCGGCGTCACCCTCTGGATGCTCGGCAACATTGACGGCATATGCACCGAGGACCAACCAGACGGCTTTTCCTGCCCCAACGGCCGAACCGTGTACTCCTCCTCCGTCATCTGGGGTCTGGTCGGCCCGCGGCGCCTCTACTCCGCCGGGAAGATCTACTCGTCTCTCCTGCACTTCTTTTGGATTGGTGCCCTCGCTCCGGTAGTCACATACTTCCTCTACAGATACACCCAACGCAGCATCTTCAAGTCCATGAATTGGCCTCTCATCTTCGTGGGCACATGGAACGTTCCGCCGGGTAAGTCGCTAGATATCAATGCCGCAGTGCAACCAACTACTGATGCGTTCCTAAGCGACCGGTATCAACTACTCCAGCTGGGCTCTCGTCAACTTCGCCTTCAACCATGTCATCAAGCGCCGCTTCTTTGCTTGGTGGACGAAATACAACTACGTCCTTGCCGCTGCTCTCGACACAGGCCTTGCGCTTAGCGGCATCGTTATATTTTTCTGCATCTCGTATCCTGGTGCCGTGTTTCCGGACTGGTGGGGGAACACAGTATACCTCAACACGGCGGATGGACAGGGAGTCGCCTGGAAGCCGATGCCGGATATTGGTTACTTTGGTCCACCGAATGGAACTTGGACTTGACGTCACGCCAGTATCTCTCTACAGCGGTGACAAGAATCGGCATATATTGTTCATACGCGTGATGGCAAAGTATTTGCCTACTCAGCTAGGTTATTTCCATTGCAATCGTCGGACGAAGCTTGTTGAGAAATTATTGAATACATCCAGACTACCTCGAAGTTTCCCATTAAAAAACCGAACTGAAACTGCCATATCGAGTAAAGAGGAATAAAACAATGCCGGGAGAAAAATCGCGTTAAGGGAACAATCGAAAGCAAGAATCCGGAAACAGTAGCTTGGTAAAGAAAGCAGCGAACAGACCGGGTTCCCGAGAAGACTTTGCCAAAGTTGGTCGGTTCAGTCAATAGGAGAGTGACCTGCCACTCCTCGAAAAGAATGATACATCATGAGACATTTACTGCATGAGGAGTCAGTGTCTGTACGTCCAGTGAGCATAAAGAACCAGGGAAGCTTACAGAAATCTCGGCCATTCCAAGATCCTCACCACCGGCAGCAGGCTGCTGAACAGCGCCGTTTGTAGCGGCAGGGGCATTGGCATCGGCGGCGCCAGTATTCTCGGTGCTGGCAAAGTAGTCAACCATCTCGGCATCGAGCTCTTCGACGGTCTTCGGCTTAGGACGGTTCGAGCTACGGGCACCACCACGGCGGCCACGGCGGGCGCCACGGCCCCGAGTGGTGTTGGCGGCCTTGGCGGCCGTGGCAGGCTTGGGCTGGGATTTGACTTGACTGGTCCAAATTAATAGAAGATCATCAGAAAAACGAAAAAGTGGAGAACTTACGCGACACGCTCTGTAAGAGGCTTGGGTGCTGGCACGCTGGGAGCGTGGGAAGCGTCAACCACTACTTCAATCTATGGAGAGTTAGAGACGGTCGGAATGAAAACGAGGACAATGCGCCTCTCACCTTCATGGGTCTTCCATCAACAAGAAGGCCATTCAACTCCTTGGCAGCCTTGGCGGCTGTGTCGGGTTTGCTGAAGACAATCGAAGCAATACCACGGCTGGTGCCGTTCTGGTTGTAAGTGAGCATCACTCGCTTGACGGGACCTGCGGATTTTGAGAAGTATTCCTAATGGACGGGAAAGATGATCAGTACTGCAGTCAAGATCAAGTCGCGAAATCTGGTAACGACGGCGGCATGAACGAAACATCGACAATTGCGCACAACGGCCCCCAGACAGGTAGCACAGAGCATCAGCGAGCACACAGCGTTAGCGTCATGTTCCACTGGGAACCCGAATTTCCACCTCTACGATCATGAAGCGCCAAGACCATTTTGGAATCCATATTGACCTTCTCAACACAATCCCATTCAAATACTGGGCCGGGCGTTTGATCCCTCCATGGAATGAACCGACCTCAGCAACCATTCAGAGCAAGGGTGGACGAATGCATCTCATGCCGCGATGCAGATATTAAACGTCCACGCCCAAAGGCGACCTGCCATCAACGGAGTGACAGTTCCACGGCTGAAAACCCAACAAGGAACAGGGAAACTCTGACACGACCCCCAGTTTGCCCACAAGGAAATAGAGGTCATAAGAACAATCTCGGCAAGGCTGCTAGATCCTGAAGATTCACTGCGAGTGCGTCTCCTGCCCTAATAAACTGACGCACTTCACAAATGAATCGCGGTACCCGTCTAGGGTTCTGATTTCATTGCAAAGCCTTGCCTGCTACTGCTGTTTGCTGATGCGCTCGCTGATGCCCCCTCCATGCAGTGCGAAATCAAACGGGCGACGAAACCGAAAAGTTTCGCCAGGAAAGGTATTTCAAAGCTCCGAGCACAGTCTGCAGCGTAGTGATGGAAGCGTATTGCCGATAATGCAAATTCGCCTCAAAACTAATACGCTTCTCGCAAGACTCCGGCAAAACTCAACCTCGACCGCCACGTAGCAGCAGTTTATGAAACGCTCGTAGATAGAAGACGGGAAGGAGTTGGTGCCTGTGCAGCGGACCCAGCAATCACCACGAGGTTGTGGAAGCGACGTGGCGACGGGTCCGAACGCGGATGGAAGCCGTTGACGCCTCGAAGGTCTCGAAAAACAGATATGGCGATAGAAACCCAAGGCGAAGGCCTCTCGATCAACATACCTTGATATTGGCCTCATTCACATCAGAGGGCTTGAAGGAGTTAGCATATCCGCACATTACAAGCTCGGAGCGTGAGTGGAGACTTACCAAGCCGCTGACCATGATCTTGCTCTCTGTTGCGACCGGGTGTCCACCCTGAGCGCCCTTTGCAACAGGTTTGGCGGCCTTTGCATTCTTCTTCACTCCTCCAACTGGAACGGCAGCACTGCCAGGCTTTGAAGCGGCTGGACGACGAGTGCGGCGACGAGCGTTTTGACGACGGTTGACGAGGATCTCGTCGAGAGACTTGTCCAGCTTGGCAGACATTGTTGTTGAGCTCAAATGAGTGGTCCGGATTCGAGAGTGAGAGATTCAGGAGATTCACGGAGTTGCGACCGTGACAGATGAAGCAGCACCACCTAGGTGGTTCAAGGCTTTAACAAAGGGGCAGGAGAATGGGCTCAAAAGCTGTGAATTATCGCTATTGAGCTTTGAGTATTAATTGCTGATACAATTATTGATGTACGTGATTAAGAAGCAAGACACGTTGATGGAGGAGGTGATGCAAGACGGTGGACAGTTGAGATTGATGGACGACAAGAAGTTACGCAAGGGCGGTAGGGAAGGAGGCTGTGTCAGGTTTGGCGCTAGGCCGCATACGGAAGCGGGATGTTGGTGCCTTAGACATCAGGATTTAGCCGTAAAACTGAAACAGTCATCGCCATCATCATTATTGCGGCACATTCACTGAATCTCGAGAAGACCCCCTCGCGTCCATTCTAATGCAGCGTTATATTGGCTAAAAGGACATGATGTCTCGAAGACCGTTGGGGGGCCCATTATGGGACTCGTCATCAGTGATGCGGAGTCAAACTACCACGATATATAAAATCATTCTCACGAACAAAGTAGAATTGTATATCCGAGTCAGTTGCTACCCCTAGGCCCAGCCTTGATACATTGCAATAAGAAAAAGAGTCCCTAATGACAAACGCCGAACGCTCGCTCTACCCGGAGCCCTGTACATAACGCACAACTACATCAATGAAAGAGTACTCCTTGAGTTGGAATCAACACACTCCCCTGGAACACCAGCCTGAAGTGATCAATCCCTACATAATCAGCTTTTCAGAGCTTCCAACCGACCTCTCATCTGTTCCAGGGCCGCTTCTTGATCTTCCATCTGGTCCTCAATAGCCGGCTCTCCTTCTGCTGGTTCTTCCGCTTTGACGTCTCCGGCCTGGGAAAGCTTGCCCTGCAGGATCTCCTGTAGAACCTTGTCGACCTCCGCCTCGGCTTCATCTTCTTCGTCTTCATAGAGCTCATTGTTGGGTATCGCGTCGTCCACCATCTCTTCTATGATACCGGCACGCACCAGTTCCGTCGCCAGTTGCCGCATGGTTCCTGTCAATTCAGGCAGTCGGACCAATGTATTGACGTCCTTCATAATTCCAGTCGATTTCTTCAGACTGCCTTGGATCTTACGCATCGAAAACGCCTCATTCACTTGCATCTGGACACTTTGAAGCTGGGCTCGGCTCGTAGTCAGACGAGCGGACTGTTTGCGGATCCGAACAAGTTCCCGGGCAAAGGTCTTTGTCTCAGCAGTCGCCTGTTTTGCTTGCGAAGGGTTTCGTTGAGCCCTGCGCGATGCATTCACGATGTATTGCCGTGTCTTGCTTTCCAGATTCCTCAACTGGGCAATGTCGCGGTCTAATTGACGGGTGTTGGCACGTATGAGTTGGTTGCATTTCCTCATCTGCAAATCGGAAAGTCAAATTAGCACACCTTGTAGCAAGTATTCGTCAATAATCGTACTTGCGCTTGAGGATCTGGCCCGAAGAATACTGCCTTAAGAGTCTCCATGATGAAGAGGCTCTCTGTGATGTTATCCTGGATTATCTCCCTGAGATATTCCTTCCTTGAGGACCGAATATATGTGATTTTATAGAATATAAGCAAGAGTTCACGGCTTCGTGAGCGCCCAAGGCTACGTTATCGCAAAAGGCATCAAGCTATGTTCCAGAACTTGATCGTCACTGTAAGTGGGGTATCGACCCGGGGGCGTTCGAACGTGTTGCGCAAGGCGAATGCAGATGTTAAGATAACAGCTCACCAATGTCACGACGCCAAGAAGAATGATATGACAACTGAACTAATAAGAGTTGTGACTTGAAGATTGTATATCGGAGTACCCTTGATCAAGATCGGTGTCACTCTCGTCAACAGACTGAGGAATCCGGCGCCAACTTTCCCATGTGATTAGTCAGCAACCAACCACAACTTCAGCCTCAGGCATGTAAGAGACCGCAAACAGAGCAAACAGCAGGCGGCTGCCATAAGACAGTTCCAGTACTTTCTAGCACCACTTCTGGAGGGACAAGCTACGCTAACCTCAGCTGGACTCCATCACCAGCCTTTCTAGCCCCAAGTCTTTCTACATATTATTGTCTGCTCTATCTTCACTTTGCTCTCAGCTCTAGATCTACGCATCTGTTCTTGTCATCTTCCTCGCCGTCTCTCTTCCTAGTATCCTACCTAACGCGGATCAATATGTCTCAACTCACTCCTGAAGGTACGTTAGCTTGTGGTCATCCTGTCCCCCCTTCCCCGCCTCGGCTTGTGTTGCTGGTCTTTGTGTCTCAATTGCAGCACAGACACTTGAGCGTCAGTGCATATGTACCTGCCGCACTCCAAAGAGGCTCAAGCTAGCACTTGGTCCTCGAGATGGTAAGCATTGCTGACGAATTCCTGTGCAGTTACATGGGCCCAGCGCTCATCCAGCTCAGACCCTGAGCGCAACTACCTCTACGTCAATATCAAGACCCCCGATGTCGCGAAGTCGGCCGCGGATCTCAAGATCACCGCTACCAATGTCTCATTCACCGGAGAGACCAACAAGGGCGTAAAATACCACGTCTCTCTCGACCTATACGCCGAGATCGACCCCGAAAACAGCAAGGTCAACCACACTGACCGCGAGGTCGAGCTGGTATTGCGGAAGAAGGAGCTTAAGGAGGAGTACTGGCCCCGTCTGGTGAAGGACACGCAGAAGCTCCACTTCTTGAAGACGGATTTCGACAAGGTATGGCGTTGACAACCGTGAATATTGGCGGACGAGAACGCCTACTAACAATTGCTAGTGGGTTGACGAGGATGAGCAAGATGAGGCCGGCGACGATGACTACGCAAATAACTTTGGTGGATTCGAGGGGCTTGACCAGGGCGGTCTTGGAAACATCGATTTCTCCAAGCTCGGTGCCAACCTTGGCGGGGGCGCCGAGGGTGCTGAGGGCGAAGAATCAGTAAGTCCTTCTGATCCGAGCTTTGGAAACCGTACGCATCGCATTTACTAATATCTCATTAGGACGAGGAACTGCCCGAGCTCGAGGGTGATAGCAAGGCCGAGGGAGAGGCCAAGTCCCCTAAGATCCAGGAAGTCTCTTAAAGTATGGTAGGAAGGAGCTTGATGATGATCTGTGAAGGCTGAATGCTGAAACACCTATTATGAACAAAATCGCTCTGCCATGAATGAGCTTTACTCATTTTCGACTTAAAAGAGGCTGTACGAGTCTTGAGTATACCGTTGGCGACTTGTTGGGGAGGCCTGAGATGCATAATCTGTGGACGATAATGTCTCAGGACATACCGCAAGTCTGAATGATATAATGAGATACGCTTCGCGCTATTCGCTTATCCCGCCCGATAAGTTGCGGCTAGTTCTGCCATAGCTATGCTCGAGCGTAAATTCGTCGTAGTATGTTAAAAGTAACACCATCGGCCTTGTGGTGCATCAGACAAGTCATGACGTCCTAGAGCCTCGGAGATACCTCGATTTTCAGGCAGGTTTTAAATATCTCGATCATGGTGCCGACAGAGGTTTCTTACCAGAAACCACTGAAGACGGGAATAGAGAGTACCGGACTATGCAGTACGAATATTATGCTTGATAATGCCTCTGGCACGACCAAAAAGCAAAAATTGTTCCGAGTTGGTCGAGTCAATGTTTGGTCGACCGCATTCTGGGCATCGAAACTCATTGGCGGAGAGAAGCCTTTCGAAGGTTGTGCCGCCACATTCTCTGGAAACCCACATCTCTTGAAAATGTGGAGGGACTCGCAACCCAAGATCTTCCAAGTTCACCAACTCTCACGATCGTTGCACACGCTGCATTTGAGGTGTCAACCAACTTTTGTCTATCTGTTAGGACATTTGGATTGACCCTCATCTTCTCTGTCGTTATTAATATCCAGTCGACTTAGCCCTTCAGCCTTGATTGACTGCGAACGAGCCCGGCGCCACCGCCAAATTCGGCGTGAATTTGTTTCTCTCTTAATAGACGTTTTGCAGATTAGACAATTTCAAGGACATAGCCAAAATGCCGCCCAAGAAGCCTGAGCCGGCGAAGAAGAAGAAGACCACGGTCGAGGACAAGGTTCGTACTGTCATTGAATGATGAATAGTTTTGGAGACGATTTGCTGACTCGTTTCTTGGACAGACCTTTGGTATGAAAAACGTATGTTACGAACTATCGGAGACGATATCATCTCGTTATTATTGAACACTCAACTGACCTGATATTCCCACAGAAAAAAGGTGGTTCCGCGAAGAAGCAGATTGCACAGCTCCAAGCCCAAGCAGCACACAACAAGACCGCCGATGCCAAGAAGAAGGAGGCTGAGAAGGCCCGCCGTGAAGCCGAGAAGAAGGCCGCTGAGGCCGCAAAGAAGGAAGCCTTAGAACTGTTCAAGCCCGTGCAGGTTCAGAAGGTTCCTTTTGGTGTCGACCCGAAGACCGTCCTGTGTGTCTTCTACAAGCAGGGCAACTGTGAAAAGGGAAAGAAGTGCAAGTTCAGTCACGATCTGAACGTTGAGCGGAAGGCGGCCAAGAAGGATCTCTACACCGATTCGCGAGATGCGAAAACTGAAGAGGAGGAGGCGAAGAAGGGCGACACGATGGACCAATGGGACGAAGAGAAACTTCGCAAAGTTGTTCTCAGCAAGCACGGCAACCCTCGGACGACTACCGAGAAGGTTTGCAAGTACTTTATTGAGGCCGTCGAGAACCAGAAGTACGGTTGGTTCTGGGTTTGTCCTAATGGAGGCGACAAATGCATGTACAAACACAGCTTGCCACCTGGGTATGTTTCAGTACAGGCTTTCAAGCATTGTACCCCGGCGCTAACATTCATCTAGATTCGTGTTGAAGACAAAGGAGCAGAGAGCCGCTGAGAAAGCTATGATGGACAAGTCTCCATTGAACACGCTAACACTGGAGGACTGGCTCGAATCAGAACGTCACAAGCTCACCGGCAACTTGACACCGGTGACCCCCGAGACCTTCGCCAAGTGGAAGAAGGAGCGTCTGGATAAGAAGGCTGCAGAGGAACAGGCCCGCAAGGCCAAGGAGGCCACGGGTCGTGCTCTGTTCGAGAGCGGCAACTGGCGCGCGGAGGAGGAGAGCGAGGACGAGGACGAAGACGACGGAACCTGGAACCTCGAAGCCCTGCGGAGGGAGACCGAAAAGATACGGGAGAGGAAAGAAGAGGAACGTCTTGCCCGACTGGCTGGTATTTCCGTCACGCCATCGTCGAACGACGAGACCGTTGCGCAAGAGGGCGAAGGCTGAGTCGATTCGACTCACCCAGTTCCAACAACTTGGGCTTTCGAATTCGGGCATGGCACCTCCCACACTGGAACCGGCGTTCCCGGCGGATTTCCGGGTCCGTGATGGTGATCATGTTGAGAACCAGGACTGGGATATCTGCCGGGTGGGCGTTGACGCTTTGTCCTCTGTCATTTCCATACATGCTCCTGTGCAGTCACAGGATTTTGGGACCGATGTCCCGATGCGTGTATTGAAGGGCAGAGGCAGAAGGCGACACATGATCGACGCAACCATGTGTGACGTCAATGCAGAAAACAGAGGCTGGCATTCTGTGTGCCATTTTATGTTTTTTTGTACGTAGAAAATGATTTTGACTAGATTTAGCGCTACATCTCAATGCTTTGCATCAACCGTTTTAGGTTTCATCAATCAAGGTAACGGACTGGATCAGCGACTGCTAGGACTTTATTGTTCGTAAACGAGCCTTGAGTACTGACCCCAAGAAATATCTACAACAACGCCTTCTGCCGCGCCAAGCCATTTTCAAAGATCAACTGCAGAACATCCTGCGCGACCCCCCGCGATAACTCGAACCCCCGTCCCCCAGCCCCATAGGCATGCACAATGAAGCGATCACCTCCCACTCTCTCCGCCTCGATCCTCATCCCACCCTCCCTCGCCGGCCTCCGTCCGACAATATCACGGATGACATCAAACTGACCACCACTCTCCTCAGTAAAGGGGAACCATTTCGCCGCACTGGAGAGAAGCTGCTTCCTCGTCTCAAGTGAGGGTGTCGGATTCCAGTCGTGCGGTTGCTTGGTGCCGCCGATGATTGTTCCGCCGCTCAGAGGCCTGGGAATGCAGAAAGACCATGTGCCGTCTGAGTTTTGGCGGGTGATGGTCACAGAGCAGGGGTTACGGACAAGACACGTTTGCCCTGGTAGCCTTGTTAGCAGCTGTATTAGAACTTGAAGAGATGGAGCTCGCCTCATACCTCGAATAATAAATGATTTAGGATCCCCGAATCCCAGCCCCGAGCAGTTCACAACCGTCCTCACAGTCCCCGTCCCCGTCCCCGGCAGCTCAAACGCCTCCATCGGATCTACGAGCGTATACTCTCTCGTCTGCCCGCCATTGAGGACGAACTTCCGAAGCAGATAGGCGCAGTATACTGGCGAGTTGACCACGTAGGTGCGATAGCGCACTCCCCATTGCACTTCGGGGGGTGTCTCGTCGGCCGTCAGGCGGCGGAAGCCGTCCAGATGCGCGTACGCGTTCTGGATGTTGGCTTCGTGCAGGTACTCCGGCGGCGGGGACTCGAGGTGTTCCTCGCCGTCGAGCAGTTGGACGCCTGATGAAGGGTCCTCCGCTGCAAGGTGCTTGAAGTACTGATATGTGCGGCGTGCTTGGCTGTTTTCGCGTGCGGCTTGCGGGGAGGACCCTGGGACGGGGCGGTAGTGCGCGCCGGCCCAGGGCGAAGCATAATTGAGGGAGGTGGTGTTGGGGAAGTCTCTGGCGACGATGAGAATGTTTTGAGAGGGGTGCAGGTGTTGTTGGATGTGGAGGGCTGTGGTGAGGCCGATTACGCCCGCGCTGGAATGAGTCAGTGTTATATATTCGGGTTATTGTGGGTGTGGGCTGGTTTATATCCATGGAAAACGACGTACCCGATAACTACTATGGTTTCCTTATTCATTCTGCGAGATACACGTTGTACTCGATCCAATGCAAAGTTCCTTTTGTCTTCATGGACTTTTGGACTGTGGTGGTCTCACATTGTGAGATGGAGATAGATAAGCGGATCCCCGCATGTTGGAGTCCCGAACTATTGCCGTTATCAGAAAATTGACGTCTGTCTCCGATCGTGGTTCCGCGGTATGAGGTTATTCAGTTTTATTGCGTATCATTTCCTTCTGTCAGAGTCTGTCTACAATTCTATGTATAGAAGAGCAGTTGAGGCTAGACCATACTTGTTTTTGAATGTCGGAGCTTTTGATATGACAGTTCAACCGTCTCTATGACCCCGCCAAATCTTATCGCTCTAGTAATGACTAGAAAGCCGCCATGGATCGGATCACAGTCACATACGAGCATACGAGCAGAGGCTGGGAGTCTTATCACACCATCCTGGCTGGATATTGATTTTGAAGCTGCATATTTGGTCGTGAGCTCGTTGGGCATCTCCGCAGTACCTATGAAGTACAAAGCACTTGATCATCACATCACATTGCGTCGTAAGGAAATGGCCAGTTTAGGTATACCTGGTGAGCTCTGAGGTTCCAGGTTTACTTAGCATCTACTAATTGGAAATACTGTTGCAGCTCGTCCTGCCTCTCTAGTTAAGCGCAACATAGATAGTGGATATATACTTCGGCACACTGCTCGAAGGAATCATTTCCCGCGATCATGCCGCCTCCGTTACTTTCCTAGATCAGAATTTTGCTTTGAGCACCTGAGGTAGCTACGAATTGAGAGACGATCCTTTGGCCATTTGAAGCATCCAGTTATCTTCCTTGAACCTGTTCATTTACGCGCCCAGTTGACCACGGGACGGGGACGACAGGGCCGCTATGGGCTGTGATTGGCTAATCCGGGTGATGAGACCTGCAGTGTGAAGAAACGCCTTCTGCATTGCTGCCAGCCAATCAGCGTTCGTTCTGGGGGTCCCTGGCAGCATCATCTTAGGGCCGTCCAGAAGAAGAATGCCTGTTAACATCTGACAATACGGATAATTCGTCCTAACCCCGCCTTGAAATGGTGAAGTCTTTCACAGGATTGTTGGGTCACTGGCTTAGGTTGCTTCTCCTGTAGGCGTGCTCTTGACCTGTCTCTCATTGGAAGTTAACTATAATACTTATCGTTCCCTGGAGAGAGATAAAAGGCAATAATAAAAAACGATCCATGCCGATGGAATATCTTCTGTCCGTGAGTTATAGAAATTGGCTACTTTTGTTTAATTTCCATGTTAGCTCCAAACTTTCCCGGCTGCAAAGCATCCTATGATCGTGCTATGCCCAGGTCTCACTACTGCTAGGAGCTGCAACATCTCGCACATTTCTTCCGTCCGAACATGTCCGCTATGAGTTTGATCGACTTTCAATTTCTTCCACTGCCTTAGTCTATCCCGTTAGCGCTGAATCCTCTCCTCTCCAAATCCATTCGGCTGCCTGTCTGTCCGTCCGCCCTCTGTAGTCCCGTGTCCTGTGTGCTGTGGCTGTACCGCTGTATGGCTGTCAGTTATCTCGCTAGTGTGCTGTACTGCTTTAGCGCTGGAGAGGTATCAAATGCAATCAACATGTCACTGGATACACTCGCTTTCCCTCATTTATGCTCGTCCGCTAATGAAGTCATGGAATCACTGTCTTCTCCTCCTGGTACAGACCAAGCGCGATCACACTCCCTTGGCGCAAGCTGCCAGTGCTTGGTGGCTGGTGAGTTCGATCATCGACTAAGGTAACTTAGTGCCGCCTTCCAAACGTTTTGTATCTTTTCCCCATGGTCTAACTGATTATCGATGGGGGTCGAGTCGTAAGGAATGCCAAATCACACCTTTTCAGTCGTCGCTCAGTCGCTCCATGACAGAAGACAGCCTCCATTGTGGACTCCTCTGAAACCCCTTTTCCTTCATTGCCTGGACTTTCAAATCCCTCCCGGCTCTTCTCTTATGTACTTCCCCCCTCCATATAACGTGGTAGCCCGCCTAGTGCATACTATTCCTTGTCAGTCGCCTGCATCTGCGATACCTTGCGGTTGCTGGCCTTGCATAATCGCACTTTTCGCCTATTTTCAGACTTGACCTTATTATCCTCGTTATAGCTTTTTCCATCTTTCCGTTCCCCTCTTATCCTACTCCTACGGTGGGCCGGACCGTCTTGTCGGTTCTCTTTCTGCTTCTTCCTCTGAGTCCATGTCCCGAGACCGAAGCTTTGTACTAATTCAGCGGAGTGTATCTCGTCATCGAAGCTACGTTAAAGCTGTGATTAGCTGGATAGTACTCTGGTTGGTCATAACCGAACCGTCCTAAATTATCTCTCTGCGAGCAACACCGAAGCTGCGGGAATGCTGTTGAGGGTCGTCTATACTGTCGAACAATACCCAGTCTGTCACTTTACTTGCGCCAACTCTTCCGGAAATCTGCGATAGAACATCGAACCCGGATAAGCGAGCTCAATTCTGGTAGTCGCCGTACAAATACGAGTGGACGGCGGGACAGACAGGAAAGAGACGGTGTCTCAACTCTGCTCGCACGCCGGCAACTCAACCGCAAGATCCCAAGAATGGTTGAATTGACATGGAACAGAAATCCCCTTCCTGATACAAAAAGTACAACAATCAAACCAATGGCGCCTCCGATTGCGCCGCCGACACCTCAGTCACAGGCACCGGAAACCACCTTCGAACCATGTGCGTCGACAGCTTCATTATTCCTCTACGCTCAAGGATCGGTAATCAATTGCCTCCATCATGACACACTCGCACTCGAGAGACGGTTCGACCATCACAAGTCGGATATCTCGTTCATATCTGTGGACAATGTCAGCGAACGAGGTTCAGGAAGATTAGTCGCCAGTTATGACACGGGACAGACGACGATCGTCTGGGACCTGTTTACCGGAGCAGAGCTCGCTCGGTTTGCGGCGTTCGATCACTTACGAGTAGCTGCCTGGATGCGTAATGGCAATGTAGCGTTTGGTAAGGAGGATCTTGCCCTCATAACCCACGAGTATGCATGCTGATGAGCTGGAAGGAAATGGAAAGGGCGATGTCATTCTCTTTGAACCTTCCACTTCCGAGCATGTCTCGACAAGGACCATCTTCGACCCCATTACAGCTTTGGCACCGGCCTCTGACTGCCGAACATATGCCATCGGGTATGTGAATGATCTTCCATTAAGTAAGGAGGATGTAAAGGACGACAGAGTCATGGGAATGTACATTGTTGTCGATTGACAGTTCAGCTAACACTTATATCAGTTATCAGAACGGTTCCATTCTGATCGCCACTCTCCATCCCACGTTTACCATCCTACATACCATGTCAACCTCACGGGGCCCATCACCAATCGTCTCGTTAGCATGGCATGCGTCGTCATCAAAGCAAAAGTCCGATATGCTCGCTACTCTATCCTTCAATGGAGATCTGAGAGTTTGGAGTATTTCAAAGCCTCCGGGCAAAGAGGCTCCGCGGGTCATCAGAGTTCTCAAGCGATCCGACTCTTCTTCAGCTGAGCCTAAGTGGATGGCGTGGTCAAAGAACGGCCGAATCGTGCAATTCCTCGATGGGTACGTCTAATGCATCCTAATCACAAGATTGAATTCTAACCCGCAACGACTTTCAGGGAGACTTGGGCATGGGATGTCAAAACGAAACACGTCACTTACGAACCGATTCCGACGATAGAAAACCCTCGTGGTTTTGCTAATTATGGCCCGACTGCTACTCTTTTCACTCTTGGGCCCAACTACACAGTGCAACAGTACGATTTAGACAATCCGGGTATGGTTGCTAACGTGCAGCACATTCCTGCTGGGGCCCTTACTGCAACTTCAGAAGAACCCAGGGGAGGATCTCTAGACTCACGAGCCTTGCAGGACCCGCCAGATCTCAGAGAATCAGCGCGCATTTACGACAGCCGGCCACCTTTTGACCAAAGCGGAGTAGAAGCCGTACGGCAGCAGCGTGCAGAGATGAGCAGTCCAGTATCATCGCGGAGTCACGCCAACTCTGTCAGCTCAAAAGCATCTTCGGGGAAATACAGGATGGTGCCATTTTCACCACCAAGTAGGTCGGGACAGACGGGTACATCGTTCTCGCTAGCTTCAGCAAGTGGAAGAGAGACTCCGCAGCAGTCTGGGGCCTCGTACACGTACGCCTCCTCGGTCTCCATGTCGTCGGTGAAAAGCTCTCGTGCGGGATCCCGACTGCGAAATGAGGTGCAATTTAGCCCAGCAGACCAGCGTATTGATTTGTTCCCATTTACGCGCGCGCGTCTCAATGACGTACCGTATAGAAACCATCGCCCCATAGATGAGACACATCTCACGCCAAACGACCTTCGGCGACAGATGCTGAGTGTCGTGTTTGGATGGGATGGGGATATTCAAGACCTGATTAGAGACGAGCGTGAGTTGAGCACCTTCACAACTTTGCTCTATTAGCATCTTAATTAACCTTATGAGCAGTCCTTCGTCACCCACCCGGCAGTCAAAGCGCCATTCTGTTGGCGCAATGGCTCGGCCAATCCGACTCTGACGCAACCGCGGCCATGATCAACTCTGGACCGGCGACATTGACCGATTGGATGCTATTGGCCATGAGCCAGATGAATGGCGAGTCACAAGCGAACAAGGTCGGCCAAGCCTTTGCGCAAAAGCTACTAGAGATCGGCGACATACATACGTCGGCTACCGTATTGCTGGGCCTGGGTGATAAAAACGAAGCTATTGAAGTCTATGTCTCTCAGAACTGCTACATGGAAGCGATCCTGATGACTTGTCTCCTGACGCCCACGGACTGGCAGCGCCAGTCATATCTGGTCCGTCGATGGGGTGAACACGTTGTTTCCCATGCTCAGCAGCAGCTGGCAATTCGATGCTTCATGTGTACCGGTGTAGAGCCCTCCGATCCATGGACTTCTCCCGCTGCTCAGCAAGCTGCGTCTTTTGCGGAAATCCTTTCAGGACGATCGCCGATGA